TTCTTAACCTTTCTTTTCCTTAAAGAGCTAAAACATTTAAATTTTATATTTTTATTTCAGAGTGAGACAGCTCTGGAAAACTGTTTTTTGCAGACGAAAATAAGAAAAAACAGTATTTAAGTAGTAAGGTAAAATGGCCTCTATTTTTTTAAGAACCTCCCACCATTTCTGACACTCCCACTTCAGCACGTCTTCACGACTATGCTTCAGGGGAGTGGTGCTCTGTGGGGCGGGAGCTCAGCTCCACACTGAGCTTCAGGGAGGAGCTTTGTGCTAATAGGCGGTGCTATGAACCAGTATGTGTTTGATTAGAGAATTGCATTATAACATGATATAAAGCTAAAGAATATACAACATTTGTCTTTCTTACTGTCCAGCCAACATATAAACAGCAGTTTCCTGRCATCAGTTTGTCCTCCAGACATGGAGCATGTAGCCATAATAAAAGGGCTTCAGGCTGTAGACTGTGTGTTTTTCCAACTCTTCCAGGACACTTAGAAAAAAAAACATTGTTCCTTAACAAGAATCTGATCTTTGTTTTCATGTTTGAGGTCATAAACATGGTGTAGTACAGCTTTTCAGATAGCTGGTATCCTGCAGCTCATATCTATCAAGACTTTCTCTGGCTTTTTACCAGATGTCTATTCACAAACACCTGTACCACTACAGCGTTTACTCATGTACTTACACCTGCAAAACTCATTACCTGTCACTTCACCAGATTTAAACTCTCTTTAGAGCCTTTTTATTCAAATAGATGATGTTTTGCTGTTAGTTGTGCTGAGTAAAACTATGCAGTGTTGACTGCAGGGTGAAAAGGTGGGAAGCAAATTTCCACAGAATCTATTGAAGTCATAACAAAGCTCCAGTGTTCACTGCTGACCTTTGGCTCAATCTATCTGATCTGAGAGTGAAACTTGCTTCAGAGAAAAGCTCTTGAGGAGCTTTAAAGGTTGTCTTTTAAAGTGAAAGCCTGACATTAAAACAGTTTACACTGGTCTGATAGAAATTGGTTTTCAACACTGAAACCGTGCCAGCTGCATGGGCGCTGTGTAAACGGCATGTTTACTTAAAAACAAAGATAAGCTTTGTGTCCTTCAATTATATAAAGGCTTGTCAGGCTGGCATGATCCTCAACTTCAGTAACTAAGAGCCAACTTTTTATGGCAGGGCTCCCTCTAATGAAAGGCCGGTCATTTTAACTCTTGGTGTCCTGCTGTCTTACAGGGAGTGCACCCGAGGCGGCTTCTGCAACTTCATGCATCTGAAACCCATATCAAGGGAGCTTCGACGGGAACTTTAYGGCCGCCGCAAGAAAAAGTACTGAAACTTTTTAAAGGGATGTTTTTAAAAAATGTGAATGTCTTTCAGTTTGTAAAGACAATGTTTTTGTCTCCGTCACCAGGCACCGCTCCCGCTCCCGAGAACGACGCTCCCGCTCCAAGGATCGGCGACGTGATCGCGAGAGGCGGAGGTCGAGGGATCGAGAGCGCTCAGGACGATTCTGAAGGAAGCCAAGACCGACCCACTGATTCCCTCCTTCCCGTCTCCAGCAGTGAAMAGTTTATTTTTGTTTTTCTTTTCTTTTTTTGTGAATCATTTGAACTATACTTTTATTTCTTTCTTTTTTTTWAATAAGCTTGTCGCTTTCTCAATAAAACAGATTTGTAACTGCATTTGCACAACTTGTTTACATGGATATCTCTTAATAGAAGAGTTAGTAGGTCTTTTTAGTAAAAATGTATTTTTCTGTCAACAGGACAAGAAYGGGTTTCTTTTGTTTCATTAAATACTTCAAATTTATCTTCTAGAAGAATTTTCTTATTCATTTGCTCATTAACTACTGGATCATAGGATCCATCAACTCTGTTAATGTGAATTTGTGTTTAGTCTTGTTTGACAGATGACGGATATATATATATATATAT